GGAGTTAAAAAGGGAGTGAATTTCTAGTGGTGTGCGGAGGATACATCAAAGAAGCAGCTTTCACCGCCAAAATCGGATAAAAGTGGGGAGAGGTTGGCGAGGAAGAAAAAGATAGGTGGGACATGCAACGAATGAGGCGAGTGAAAGGGCGCGGGAGTTTAACCACGCGATGTATAAATCGATCCAGAGGCAGTCCTAAACCGGAAAAAGCGGATAATTGGTTGACGAAGGAGGAGAGGTCGAAAGTCATCGGTGGACATGGTTAATTGGATAGAATTCAGCTTGGAATTCAAATATTCGAAGTGTGTCGGGCCAAATTGAGAATTACGCCCACCATCCAAATATTGTCCGCAGAGCATTGTGCTGTGCGCGCGAAGGCGTGCGCCGCAGAACTGGTGAGCTGATGTGCGCGCGAGCGTGGCGCCAGAGGACTGGTGAATAAGATAAACATCTATATTAAAGGAGAAGTTTGAGTCGAGGTAGCAAAAAAAATCTAAAACAACGAAGCGGGTAAGGGAAGCGCAACTGGGAACTTCAAAGGTAGTTTGATAATTCACGTACCACTATGAAATCACGAACGCCAGTGAGGATTTCATCTTCACTAGTTAGTGCTCGCTGGCTCGCACCAGGGCCAGTGGCATCATGGCAATAAATTCTATCAGTATGCGCCAGAAAATGACTGCTCACTAATGACGATTTTACCATCCTTAACGATGAAGGTTCGGCAAATTCAAGTCTAACACATTGACGACATTGGGACGCGGTAATGCGCCTCACTTTGCGCACCTTCGTTGATATTGAGACGCGGTTGCGCGTCCCACCCTTGTCATTCCTTTTTCTAGCGTATAGGTATGATAAAACTGTGAAATCTCAAGAAACCTAGGGATGCCTTCAGCCAGGCGCAACCCTGAGTTATGAACAGCTGACATTATTCCTTAGTCAGTGTGTTATCTACTTGTGACCGCTATAGGTCGTTCTTGCCACAGTACTAAACTATTTGAGCGTCAACCACGCTTTGCGCACTCGCAGACAGCTTTCGTAAGCTGCGGCCTCGGCAGTTGGTTTTCTTCAGGGCGGCTTCGGTGGCTCGTGGTCTTGATACACATAATAAACGAATTTCTATGTGGTCTATAAGTGTAATGAAAAAACATAAACGCCCAGAGGGAACTTAGCAAAAACCCACGACTCCCGCCGGACGCGACCGCCCGTAAGCCCGGAGCACAGGACGCTGTGCGCCCCCCCAGCGCTGATGCGCACGAGACCAACTATGGATAGGCCCACACCCTCGTACTCCGCGTGTACGACGCGCAACGTGCCAGTCCCTCCCACAGGGGGAGAGAACACTGTTCCTTTAATTTGCTTAACACTCACGGTTCTCTTGTGATCTTATGGAGTTTTCTCTCAGTAATCTCACCTAAACTATTAAGATAAGTCAGCTGATCGTGAATTACGTGCACGTCGTAGAAGTGGTTCAGCGAGCTCCTCCCGCTCCCCTATCCTAATGCAAGCGCTTCATCCGCCTGGCTTCTTTTGATGCTTCTGCCACAACAAATGCTCCAAGCTGTTGATGGATTGGTGCGAGGGAGAGCATCTGATAGCCTAAAATACATGTATGGACGTGTTAGAGTTACTTTTTGACTGCTTGTTTCCGTTTTTGAAATTAGTTTATTAAATTAATAGTATAGTGCAGCGAGTGGAATCACCAGAAACTTCAGAATTTCTATCTACTTGAAGTTTTCAAAACGGTTTGTTGCATATTGTAGGAAAGCATATAGGGAACACAAAACCATGTTTCGTTTTCGCTGAACGCTTATAGCAGTACCAAAAAAGAAGCATAAGGTACAGTCAATGGTTCGATCCCCGTGGCGAGCGAATTTCTCTGATATATATGATAGATTATGGGTTTGGTGCCAAATCGCGCTAAATATCAAAATCAGATGTCAAATTCATCGTCAGGACCATTTTGAAGCCAACAAGTGGCCGCCAACCTTGATTGCAAAATTTAGTCGCCGCGGGGATCGAACCATCAAGGGTATCATTCACCACTTTTTTGATACTACTAAAACCGTTCAGCGAAAAAACAACATGGTTTTGTGGTCCATACATGCGTCCCTACAATATGCAATAAACCGTTTACAAAAGGCCGCCCCGGCCTTGGCCATGAAGACCTACCTTGTCAGCTTGAGTTTGAATTGCGATTCTAGCTGCGAAGACCACACAGGTTACTAATGCCGTGAATGACTCAAAGAAAGCGACCAGGTTGTGCGAGAGTATAAGATACTTACACGTAAGACGTAAGCAAACCAGCCCTTTTGGCACATCGGCTGGGACCGTATGCTGAATGTTGGGGAGGGGATGGTGTCCCCGACGGTGGACGGACAACTTCAACGCGGTCCTTAGAACCGCCACAATTTGGCGCTTACCTTAGAACTAAGCCTTAAAGAGAGGACGGGTCCGTCCCCTCTCCTAGGCTTAGTCCAAGGGTGAGCAGACCGGTCCTTCTGGCGAAGCTACTGGACCAGCTGCACCACTTGCGTCAGTACTCTCCTATCGTACCAACCGAGTTGAAGTAAACCGTCGACCGTTGGGGACCCCATCCCCTCCCCAACATTCAGCATACGGTCCCAGCCGATGTGCCAAAAGGGCTGGTTTGCTTACGTCCTACACGTAATGCCCCCTCTGCAGCGGGCGTAAATGTGATCAGAATTCGATGAAGGAAAGTCTAGCGCAAGATCCAAGAAACAAGCTCGAACTTTTGGGACAATCTACGATGGGGTTAACGAGGAGTGGTTAATTGGTCAGTTCGGCCATTTGTAATGAGGTGTAGTCCGATGCACACGTCTTGCGACGAACAGAATCTGTCTCTTCCCTGTGTCAAGTGGGATTACAAATCAACAAAATAACCAAATATAAACACTTTCTGGGCTCGTATGAGGAGCCATGAAAAAATGCGAAAAAGTTCCACGCCCAAGGATCGAACATGTGACTCACCCATGTGAAGCAAGAGAGCTATCTACTACACTACGAAGTCCACTAGCATGGAGGCTCTCTGTCTTATGCGAACCGATAGGGATAAGGGATCCAAGGGCCCATAAAGAAAAAGAAGTGAAAAGGATCCTTCGAAACTTTTCTTCAGAGAATCGTTCCGCAGATATTGGAAACGGATTTGAGCTCAGCGTCGCTACCCGTGCATCGAACTACACCTCATTACAGGCCGGACTGACCAAATGACCATTTTTTGTAAGACGGCTACATGGAGCCCACAGAGCTTGACAAAAGCAACGGACATCCCTGTGGGGGTACATCAAGGCCAGCTCCGACTCCGTTCCTCTACCTCCTAACCCTAGATGTCATGGTGAAGGAGCTTATGAAGGGGTCACTCGACGCCATTCCTTACGCTTTCGACATTGCTGTGACAGCGCATAGCAGTGGAGAACTGATAGGGTGCAAAAATGGCAAGAAGTACAGACAGGGAATGGACTCTGACTAAACGTGAAAAGACTATGTTTCTTTGCTACGGAAAGGTTACAAAATCAATAGCAGACATCCATGGTGAAGGCGTTGGGAGAGTGAGGACTTCTGATACATAGATAGCGAACTAGCCGTTTACGGTAGCGCGCGGCAGGCACTAAAAGTCCAAACGAACGCGGCATGAGTGAATGTATCGAGTCCACCAGCATTCTCTGCCATCGACGGAGCTTAAAGACGTTCGAGGGAAGGTGTACTAAACTAAGAACTTCAATACTCCATGGTAGTGAATACTGGCTCATGGGCGAGAACCATGAAGGACGGCTTCAGTCCACTGAAAGAGATGCTTAGGAGGGCTCGCGGCTGGTCGCGACGCGAAATAGTCAGAAACGGGGACATAATAATGGTCATGCAGGCTGCTCCTGTCCAGGGGCCGTATCCTACCCTACCCTTAGGGGGACGCGTCCCCCGCCGCTGATCCTATCCTATGGTTGGGGGAGACAGGGTTGCGTCATAGGACCAGCCATACTCTGCGTTTCTAGACTCCAGACAGCGCGACCCCTCAGAGAAAAGAGTGCCTCAACAGGGGAGGTAGCTACAACATCACGCGTTCAGTGGCGGGTCCTATGCATAATCCTGTCTTCCCCAGGATACAATCAGCAGCGGAGGATGCGTTCCCTGGGACAAGGATAGGATACGGCGCCAGCTAGTCGAGAGATGGTAGAACCGTGCTGGGAAGGTCACATGATTCCACCATAAAGAAATTACTGAACCTCAAAGCGCAGGGCAAGCGACCGTGAATAACCCAAAGCAGAGGTGCACGGACTACATAACGAAGGACCTCACTAAGGTCAAGTCAACAAAAGATGTTAGAGAGGAAACATGGGCGGCAACAAACGAGAACGGCGAACACTATGAAAGCGATGGATAAACGCTATGAAGAAGATGACCTTATTTCGCATTCAGGTCTCAACGCCTTTTAGGGGGTTTTCACGCACTGGTGCAGACTTGTGACGGGGTTGACTTCGAGAAGCTGCTGTGTTTAGTGGTATGGCTGTACCCACATCGATATGGAGCACCTATTCCGCAGTACCAGACAATATCTTTATCTTGTTTAATAGAATCCTAAACTATTAAATGATGACGCTCTCATCAGTCTGCCTGACCTACACGACTCATTCAGCCTTTTATTTTTGGTGATGATGTGATGCTCATGTAATGGTTCTGTAAGTTCTCTCCGCGTAATGGAATGACTTTAAACACCCAATAACTTCGAACGTTCTGATATGGTAGCGGTACTCATGAATAATCTGCCCAGAAACGTTGGTCAGTCAACATGAACTGAACAAGGATATCAACAATAGCCATTTTTCTACCCTTGCGTTCTTTCAATAACTCGTATTGCTATTCTTTATTTCCATATAAACGTATGTACAGGATGTCATAATCAAGCGTCCAGTAACAGATTCGTCTTCTTAGAGAGATCACACAATCTGACTTATATGTAATGAACGAAAGAGCTCTGTGAGAAGTTACAAATTTTTCGGATCACTGTATTCCTTGATGTCCCGCGTCACAAATGACATACCATCTGATGGTAAATGACTTGAAATAAATGGTGAAATAAAAATGAGCGGCCATCGAGTTCCAAGACACTGACGGATGTTATCCATGAGACCAAGTTGATAGGCGTGCACATCCTTAAGAAAATCGCTTATACGAGAGCCACTACTACCAGAATACAACTAGTGACTGTCTTCTTACCAATAGGTACTCCATTCGCGTCTGCCCGTTCCAAATGCAGAAGAACTGCGCACTGACAAGATATGCCACAAATAAAAGCACAGTGAATGTAGAGGCACAGAACACAATACAACAGAACTGATAGACCGAGATTATTCTGAACGATTGAAAATAAGATTACAACGCCATTTACGGTTTTCCATAAACCTTGGCATAATGTATAATGGTTTCATCTTAATTCCATGCGAGGCTGTGACAACATCAGTGACAAACAATCATCAACAGTAGGAGGACGAGCTACAGCCAGGGTCAACCGTGCGTTGCGCAAATTTCAAAATTTTTACGACCCCTCCCTTTCGGAGGGTATCGTACGACCCCCTGTATTAGCTATTGTGTCTTTTTACATATTTTAGGCCCATCATCGGTGTATGGGCCGTCACCGACATGGAGAAGTGGTGGACAGTGGTCAATCCGCGCGCTTTGTCTCGCTCAGAGGAGGGAATCGAGGCAACATGAAATTTTATTCATTAAATAGAAGGAATTTCCAAATTTTTGCGTAAACCAATACATGGTAGTAATCGTAGAAGATTTCTACTTTCAGAAACCTACCAAGTTTTTTTTCGATCTCTCAATCTCCTTTTTTATAATCTGAATAACTAAACCTTGTAGCAATTACGTTACGATACAAACTCTCCATTCAAAAGTTCTTCAGAAGTGGTCTCATGAGATGAGATACAAAATTTTAAAACTCCAATTGTTTTCTTCCTAAAGTTTTTTTCCTTTCCAGTGTGCAAATTCGCATGTGTGTACCAAATGCTTCAAAATTCTTGCTGAGAGCTACAACTTCCGCCCACCAAACCAACATTGCATTTGTTGGAGGGAATACTACCATTTAAAATGCTCATCGGTTTTTCACAGTTTTCTCAAAAGACAGTGAAGTCTTTGAAGTGATGCCCGCAATCGTCGTCAAAAAGGTGGCCCTAGTTAAATCAGTCGAGACGGGGCTGCACCAGTCTTGTGCTGAAATGGTAGGACACCTTAGCAGTGACTGATCGATGATGCACAAACGCTTTAACGAAGTTGATTGCACAAGAAATTCTAATAAATGTGCTCATCTGCTACTCACGTGTGCTCAAAAAGGGTGCGTTTTTGACCCTATGTGGCAAAAAAGACTCCGGGAAAAATTGTCCAGTTGAGCTGGTAAGTTATAACTTTTCCACCATACAGTATAGGCCTTATCTAACTGAATGTATACCCTCGCCTTCAAATGACCAGAAATTGTGCAATTGCAGAAATTGACGTGGCATTAACGTGGCATCGATTCAAGAACATCTTTGAGCACACGTGATGTCACCTTTTCATCGAGAATTTAGCCACGTGTGCCACGTGGATTTCTGGCTGCATGAAACAGAGTGTACTCTTTTGTCAGGCCTAACTTTTTAGCAAGTGAGAGGGATGATTTGTCAGATGATGTCAAAACCGACCTACCTCTCTTTTTCGACTCAAAAAATTCCTAGCTTTAATCGTACGAGGTTTCCACTCATACTGGTAAATGGGAAAGTGCTAATGAGTCATTCGATGAATATGCTGTTTCACTCCCCGGATTCTGAATTAAAATATTGGTGGTCCGAAACTCGTGGTGAAAAAACGACACTAAGATATCCGGTACCTAATAGAAACTAGAAGAATGACGCTTTCGAAAAAATCAAGATTTTTCTAAAGAACACTCTTTTGAAAAATATCCCGTTATTCCGTTTTTTACTGCTTTTTTAGGTCATGCTCGTGAAGCGCGAGTTTTCAAACTTCGAGTGGCCATAAGCTTCTTTAAGGTCGTACAATGAGAATCGGTAAAGACCACCGAAATCAACAAGATCAGTACTATATAGCATACGTTATCTTGAAAGAAAACCTTTCTCCTGCCATAGGTTTCTATTAGTACTCCAGAGGTCAATCAATTCGCTGCACTTTCCTCCACTTTGATTTGTTCTAAAAGCATGGGAGTTTCTCTGGAAGGATTTTTTCGCTCACGCTCACTGGAACATGATGTATTTTTAGTAAGAATTCTCGCTTTAGGATGGGCTATTCAATCGTATAAGGCGCGTAGTCGTAGAGGCAGTTGAAAGTCGCTACGCTACGGCAACTTCTAATTTCGTGAATGGTACTTGAGGTTACAACCTCTCCTCTTCCAATGGCAAATACGACCCCCTCCTTGTTCTTTGCGCAACGGGCTGTTGACCCTGGCTACAGCATCTCTTTTAAATTAGCCTGAGCCCGCCAAATCCCTAACGACACTAGCGCTTCTCTATTCACTTAAAAACTTACCTCGTCATCAGAGCTATATGTGGAAGGAAAATATGCCATGAACGCGACAACGAAAAGCCGCCATCCATACGACTCCAAGTATAGTCCCAGGTATAACTAAAAAACACGAAATAGGTACAGATGAACAATTTTGAACACTACTTACCCTTTGCTGCCTCAAACCTTAACAAGAACCGGATTGCCACGAAATTTGTCCATGGCAATGGATTTGGCCAAGAAGTTGTCTTCGGGGGTATTTGAGCCCGTAGAACACGAATATCACACCGGTTTAGCGCGAAAACGCTTGGCGCCCGCGCCACAGGCGCCGGCGCTATCACAACAGTTTTGCGCGGGCGCCCGTAGCGCAGGCTACAGGCTCACTCGCAACGAACTAATGTGATATTCATGTTCTACGGGTCAAAATACCTCTGAGACAAACGTTTCCAGCGAATTTGGTGATCCAAGATGTTCTGGCGCCTCTTGGCGCCGGCACTTGTGGAGCGTGCGCCAAGCTTTTCGCGCTGACCGAATGCGATGTTTGTGCCCTAGAGTCGAATTACCAACAGGGGCAACTTTCTAGCCGTTCACAATCATGGACAATTCTCGATAAAAATCCGACTCAGTTCCGAAACTTACCTTAATCACTGGAGCGCGCCCGAGTCGGTTGTGCTCCGCCTTTGAGGCTGGATTTGGAAATGTTCCACCAGCATAGTTCGCGCGTCCCGTATTACTCCGGCAGCAACTAAGCCGCCCGCCCGCACAGCGGAAGCACTACCGACTAGAGGGTAAACAGTGCCTAATTTTTAATGAATGAAATGTTGCACTACTTACCTGAAGAGTGGAATACAAAGTATCAGGAGGTTCACGATAGCCGCTACAAAATATCTGAAATAATAAAAACATGAAATTGCAGCATAATTCAACTCTAATTCGTGGCTGCAAACAGCTCACTGTCTTGAAAAAAAGTGATGAG